TGCTCGCGCTACTATTGACCAGCTGCATTGATGCTGCTGCTACTGTTGATGATGTCATGATGCTGATACTGCTATGATACTCGCTACCGTACTGTACTCGCTACTGTCTGTTGTCTGTTGTTGTATGTTGTTGTTGTTGTTGTTGCTTGTTGTTGTTGTTGTATGTTGTTGTGTTGTTGTTTGCTCAGCGCCGCTACTGCTACGCAGCCTACTGCTACTGCGATGTTGTTGTTGTTGTTGTTTGTGTTGTGGTGTTGTTGTTTGGCTGCTGCTTGCCACAGCATGCTGCTACAGCTACTCTGCGCCTGCTGCTCGCTAATTGCCGACGATGGACCGTGGGCGAGGGGCGACACAACACGCTCTTGTCGCTCCGCGGTACGCTGGCGGGCGCGCGCACTTACCTTCCGACCAGCGACGTGTAGCCTCCGTTAGCGTAGTAGACCCGCGTTACGCCACGTCTGCGCGGGAGTGCACGCACGCAGCACGCACCGCACGCCAAGCACGTAACGTTAGGCAGCGTGTGAGACGGTTAAGCGATTATATACATGTGATGATCAATGGTTAGTCGTCTTCTGCGAATACCTCTGGGATCTTTTGCGCTTGCACTGCGCTGTTACTCGGCTGCGCGGTTATAGCTAAGCCGAGGAAATCCTAAGCTCTAGAATCTTTAGGCACTGTGCACTCGCGTGCCACATGCTGAGCGAACACCACAGTTCTAAAGACTAGGGCAAAACCCAAGGAGAAAAAAAAAAAAAAAAAAAAAAAAAAAAAAAAAAATAAAAAATTAAAAAAAAAGAAAAAAAAAAAAACGAATAAAACAAATTACGACCGCTACGCGTGTGAAACAGCTAGCGCGCGTGCGCACAGCTAACATGGATAGTTAGAGAGTTTTAGACTCATCATGACGGGCAGATGCCGAAGTAGGCGGTGCCAGCCGGCATACACATCATACACATCACACATCAATACATGACATGCAACAATACATGCACGCCACGCACGGCACGCACGCGAACACAGCACATCGCAAGCACGCCACACACACACACCACATACATACACATACCATACATTACGACACACATACCATACATCATACAGCATACATGAAGACGAAGCGTCACCGGCCGACGGAACCCAGTCGATCGTGCGCGCAGACAGCGCGTCGTTGGACGCATTCGCCTGTGTCAGCCGCGCAACTGCTCGCGATTTCTTACCAGAGCCTTCCATGTATCGTCGAAGATTCTCAGTCTTACGCGCCAGCTTGCCATTGCGCGGCAAGAACTGGCATGTCTTCAGCGTGGAATATGATCGTGGACGACTGGCGTGCCGCGTGCCGTACACGACCAGATAGATAGGCTGATTGGGGTGGTGACGGTGGCAGCTAAATGTTA